TATAATCATATTAATAATAAAATAAAATAAAAAAATAATAAATTAATAATAATAATAATAATATAATAATAATAATAATAATAATAATAATAATAATAATTAATAATATAATAATAATCCCAGCCAAATCTCCCAAAGCCCAGCCCTACGTCGAGCAATTGAGAACTTAGCCACGTGGGAGACGGGCAACGTCAGAAAATTTGCGGCAAACAGGGCGATGCACACCCATAGAGATATGGAGACACGGAATTGCGTCGTAAGGCCTCGGAAAAGCAGCCGCTGCCTGGGAGCGCCGGGGCACCTTCGGAGCCACCTGGAGGTGACAGCATGCGAGCGGGGTGATCAGGAGCTGAAACAGGCGGGCCCTGATCGTATAACCCCGAATATACTACAGCCGAACATGACAGCACCATCCATCTCCACTTATAGCTGTACTGCCGCAAGTGCTTCCAGAGAAGCAATCTATTGCTTCCACAGGACCACTGCCGCAGCAGGGGCACGCAGAAGGATGAAGTGGACTATAGAAATAAATACCTTCATCATGCGTGAATACTACACCATTACCAAAATGGAGACTGACACTACGGCCCTACGACAAAAGTTATCATCAAAGATTTCTTCACCGTTTCCCTGAATTCTGAAGTTAGTGAGCAAAGAAATAGCGGACCAGCGTCGAGCAATTGTTCAGAAAAATCTCCCTCTCTGCAACCAGTTTTGGAAAGCCAATCAAGGAAGAAGTGAGAAACATGCTAAACTCCTACGAACCTAGTAATCTGAGGGCAGTGGAGACATCAGCTGTGCAAACTCAGGATGACAATGGGACAAGCATGTCAGAAAGTATGGAGTGATAAGAGTAGAGTAAAGGGTGGAAATTCGCAATGAATTTGCAGTCGCACTTGCGGAATTTGAAGGAACTGACCCACTGAACCGCTATCTCATTCCCAGACAAATTGCTCGAAGAAAATTAGCAAGAGCATTCAGTGTCATTGAATGAGAAAGTACGTGCCCACAACATCTAAACAAAGACCATTTTTCGAAGAAGTACACACAGGCAATTTGGTTATTGTGCTGCGGTTGTGGCTTCAAGATGTAACGGTTCCAAGCTTTTCAAGCCCGGAGTAGCAAACTTCCCACATGATCGAATGAAAAAAGAATGCCACCCTTGGGAAAGACGGCTGGTGAATCGTTATAGAAAGCACTAGGAGAGATATTGGGAGACGTCACGCAATTTACAATAAAGGAAATACCCTCCAGAAAAACTGAGAAGATAAGGTGAAATGAACATCCTCCTCAATCCATACAAAAATTCATACGAAGCCAGAGCCCTTGAATTCAACAATAGTCAGAACCATCGTGACACCCTACACAAAAGCTTTTGGCGTTACAAAAAACGCCTGTCGACGCTACAGGAAATTGCAGGTACGAGGAAGCAACAGAATTCTCTTTTATAACAGAAACGCCAGAAAGCATTCTACAGGAATATGTCAAAGGGCAAAGGAGCTTGTAAATGATATGGAAGCGGTCAAAGCCTTGCCCTCAAAGGGCAGCATATCAGAGGGACTTTTTGGAACCTATCTGGTCATTCTGCTGTGTCGCACAACCCAAGATGACGTGGATGAAATGGGAATATGAACAGGCCCGAGATATCCCTCTAATGTGTGAACCAATCATCACCCGTGGAAATTGTCCAAGCAGGCTTGAGGCAAAGCACATAATGGAAGCACGCAGCAGTGATGCCTCCCACAATTTATTGTGGCTCAACAATTTACAGCAACTCACCATCATTAGCTAATATAATTCATATTTTCTTCACAATCCAGAAAATGCTACCTCACTTCCTCCACTGAAGGGTAGAACATTTTTGTTAGCCAAAGGGGGTTTGCACACTAAAGAACCCCCTCGAAAGTACAGGCCTATAACTGCCTTAAACTTTCTACAAACTCAAGTAACATCGTTGTGTTTTCGCAAATGATGATGATCACCCATTGAGGAACAGAGCATCTCCTTAGCAAGAATGAACAAAAGGATTGTTAGACTCTGGAGGTTCGTCAGGGATGCAAGGAGCAAACCTCATTTATAGACATCTGTAATTATGGGGCAAGTGCCTTGCAAAAAACAAAGAAACTTGTACGCATGGCTACAGTAGATTACGCTAAAAGCATTCGACACCCGTGCCCCATTCTTGGCCTCCTTCAATGTTTGGATGTATGACAGGTTCCATCGCGTTTATCCAAAGATTTCCTGAAAACTGCGATGAGCGATGGAATACAACAACTGTATCTCTCTAAATGGAAAACAATCCGTCCACACAGATACTATACACATCCGTCCGAGGGATTTTCCCAGGGTGACTCTTTTAAGCCCGTTATTGTTTCTGTTTAGCCTTTGAAATCCCTCTCCTACTCTACCTTAATTTCATCCACGTGACGACCATGTAAGAATGGAAATTCCGGTTTGGATATGTCTGAGTGCAGGAGAGTGAATGATTCATTTCGCGGTCATATGCAAGTTATAAATGGAAAGCGCGATAATGAACAAGAGATTACCTTCATGGGAAACCCAATGAAACTTACAAAATTACTTTGGGTGTTCCGAACAGGTCCCACTCCCGAATCAAACACACTGTACTAAAGAATATACTTAAACAAATTGAAGTGGTGTAAACGATTGCATTTGGGCCTCTTAAAAACTCAACTCTCTGTAGAAACCTGTGTGCAGGCCATCAATTCATTCTGTTATTCAGGTGCTGACAATACTCCTTTTGGCGTTAGTAAATGGAGCTCCCAATTCCGGCCGTGAACAAACTCCAGAAGAACAATTTCGAAACCGCTATGGGGGACTCAAAAAAAAACACCGAAAAAAACAAATTTTCAATTTCCTTCATTTTTTCAAAAGTACTGAGGCGTTTTACCCTTCCAAGGGTCGCAGAGGAGGGAGAGAGTCTGTGAGAATCCTCCGTATTAATCGTGTGTTGGATTAATTGCTCCTCTTTTTTTTTTTTTTTTTTTGGTATTATTATTATTATTATTATTATTATTATTATTATTATTATTATTATTATTATTATTATTAATTGAATAAATATTTTAGAAATTATTAAAACTTGGTTGTCTTTATTGAAAATTAAAGAATAGAAAAAAGGGCGGCACAGAGCATGTGTAAATCTGCCACTGATGTCAGAGTAAGGTTTAACAAACAGACAAGTGTAAATATAGAACAGAGATTTTTCTGTCTGTAATTTCACAAAAAATAATTTGGGAATAAAAAATAATTATAAATTATAATGAAAACAATTAAGAATACTTCTTGCACAACTTAATTAATTTTTTGTTTCTGAAGATATTTTTCAATTTTTGTATTTACTTTTGTGTGCCAATTAAAATTTGTGAGAAAATAATATTAAAAAATAGCAAATATGATTTGTTTAAGCTGTATGTACAAACCGATTATAATAAAAACACTAAAATTATAATATTTCATTCAATATAGATTTCACAACAAAAGTGTAAAATAAGTTGATAAGTGGATTACTTGGTGTTTTTGGGCTACATAACATCATTTTACAAATTTTGATACTTTTATTGCATGGTTTTGAAAGTTTTTGTGTTTTTTTGCACGTTTTTGAGTTTTACTGCACACAAATACGGTCTTCATTAATCACTAAAGTCACATTCCTTTCATCCCTTTTGGCCTATTTGTCAAAGCCGGTTTTACATATCTGTCAATCTGCATTTTCTTAGATTGTTTTTTTCCCATTTTCTTTCATATTTATCCACAGCTTCACCAACGTTATTTATTTTTAGAGCCTTCCTTATGCCCCAGTTCATACTTTTGTCTCTTACATCACATTTACTAATGATCATGAATGTTTCATAAAAGCATCTATTTTCTATCTCTCTGATTTAGCATACATACCTTACTGTCTTACAGTAGTCAGTCAGCCCTGGATAATTTAAAAGCTTCTCTTTGTCATTCATCCTGTCACTAAGATCAATTAATCAATACAAGATTGCTTTTATTAAGCTTTTGGGTTTGTTTCTCCTTTCCATATCTTTATAATGTGTTTTAAAATGACTATTTTAAACTGAATAGCAAAGGTAATAATGTGGAACTTTGTTAGAATCCTTTTCTTGTGGGGATTACTCATGATGTATATCCATTCAAGCCTTGAATTTTTGAATTTCATCACAAACTTTCTTTTATCAAAAGATCAATCAACTTCTTCTTCTTTGAGGATTATTGGTAAACCTTGTTCATATATAGTTCATGGTGAATATTGCATCAACTGTTTCTTTGCCTTTCCCCAAACCACACTGTTCCTCGTTTAAAATGTTTTCACATTATTTTGTCATTTTTTTTTATACTTACATATATGTTATATATTGTGTGTATGTATGCTTGTGTGACAATTTCCCTCTAGTTCTCCCCCCAAAAAAACTTCTTCTTATTAATAGCATCCTTTCTGATCCTGTGCTCAGGCAGATAATTATATGGCTCTCTCTGACATTTAAATCTTCTGTTGTTAATACATCCTCTATATTTATCACTTCTATCATATGTTATATGTTGCCTTAGAATTCTTCTAATTCTTAAATTTCTTCTGGTGGATCATATATTCTATTACTGCTGTTTTTTTTGTAATTTGATTTTTAGTCTCAAATAGGCCTAATATGTTTCAAGTTTAAAATTTAACTTAACTCTTAAGAAAGACATGATAACATTTTCAAGTAATCTGAAAACCCTTTTCAAAATGGAGATCGATACACAAGTACCTCTGCTGGAGAAGCTCCTGCTAGAAAGTGACGCCACTCATCCATGTCTATCAAATCATCTGCCATTTGTATGCGAGTACAAAGCAGGAAGGCAAAATGTAACTTATTTTTTTCAAACAGACTCCGACACACATTGCAAAACAAACTGAATGTGAAATGATCATTGATAGTGTTTACTCTCACAGCTATATTATCTGCAAAAAACAACAAAACACACATTAAATTAGTGTGAAAACAAATAAATTAATTGCTTTAGGCACAATTTCCCCTTTCTGTTTCAAACAATGTTTAGAGCATATCAGAGCTGTAGACAATTCTATTTCGCATAAGAAAGAAAAATTTTCAATGGAAACTCTAGAAGAGAAATGCAAATATTTAAAAAGAGTGAGCCAAATATTTGCGATGCTATTTCCTACCAAATACAGTTTATGGATTCTTTTCTTAAATTGATGGAGAATCATCTTACAGATAGTTATTGAATGACAGCACTAGGAAAAGAGTGTCAAAACTGCTAGGTTTAATGACTGCATAAGAGGGACCTGGAAAACATAAAATGGTTAGTGCCTTCTCAAAGAAATTTGCAGTGCTCCTTTTATCCTTTTATCAGAAGAAACACACACGTAGTAAAATTTGCCTCGTCATATGGCTGGTGAAATATCCACTGTCTACATTCAATAAGAACATATGATTTCCTTTTTCGTTTCCTCAAAATCATTTTGATGTTTTACCATTTTGTTCTCCTGAGACTTCACTGTGTTCCTTCATTTTTAAAGCAGAATGCAAATGATTAATTTTCTAGATGCAATTTTGATTAACATCCATAGCATAATTTTAATTAACTCTCAACATGGATTTCAAAAATTATTATCAACCTGTACGTCAGGTGCAAAATTTGTTCATAATGTGGTCAAAAATTTAAAAACAATTAGAAGACCATATTTCCATTTTTTCTTGATCTCTCTAAGACATTTGACAGGGCAACTTATGAACTTGTTTTATCACTCACACTGAATTAAGTGGCAAAGGGAAGATTTAATAAAATTTTATTTATTTAAACAACATACTAAAATCCTCTAGGAATGCCTACCTCAATAGAATAATCAGAACAGAATTAAATTGCAACATTGAGTCCTATAAGGTTAAGGCCCACAAAACTTATATCTGAGCATTATCTGTTCACTTTTACAATACGGAATAGAGATATGAGTGTCAAACATCACAATCAAATCATGTAGACTGAAGAAAGGCCTAAATTTATTTTCGAAATTCAGCCCATCAGTCTTGAAGGAACATTCATGTAGAACATGAAATCTCAGAATTCGTGGTTCTTCATTGTTACACAGTTCTCATTTCAAGTTCATAAAAGGTTCAAACCTTATACAAAATAAAAATATTCCAAATATTCCACATGTCAATAACACAATGCAAGTATCCCAGGATACATGATAAACCACTACCACACCTGGAGATACATATGGAAATGCCGCCATACTCAAATATCTGTCCTATTACATTAAGACTTCTTGTAAAAGGTGTTTTACAACATTTCTACATCTTTATTTTGTAAAGAAATGGGTAAATCAATTCTGAGTTAATCAATTTTTTATTATATAATGTTATGACATTACTAACTTTAAAACATAACTATTTATTAAATAATGATTATAAATGCACACATTACACATATATTACTGTAATATTAAATTAACACATACATTATCACATATTTATTAATATTAAATACTGCTAAGATTTAAGGTTTATGTCATTACGATTCTATTATTTTCATTATCATACTAGGTGAAAGATTATGACACTTGACAATTAATTGTTAATAAGGTTTTTATACTTAATGGTTTCTAATTGTAATTACCTTGATTATTGAACTGTTTTGTATATTAGTGTAAGTTCTATCATTTTTGTACTCTAATTAGTAAAAGCTAGAGTTCCTTTTTAATGTGATTGCCAAATTCTTTTGCATTTTGTTTGGGGGCACTATTCATAAGAAGATTGACAAATATATTTACCCAGATATTAAATTTAGTGACAGGATGTCAGTGGGGTAACATTTGGGCCCAGTAATGTGGGCAGTTCCAGGTTAAAGAGGGCCTACATAAAGTGTTAGAAACATTGATTTCTTAATATTGTAATCATCGACTGATGAATGTAAATTTGTAAAAGGAAATTTTTTATTATATACTGTACTAACACTACTTGTGTTTACCATACACTTTTATAAAGAAGGCCTGATAAAAGGTTTGTGGGTGGGCACGCACTCATTTAGTTACGCTACTGCATAATTTGAAGATCAAGAATGTCAAGTTTTGTTATTATTCATTCAGAGGATCAGACGCTTGCTCTCTTATTCATTCATTCCTTCATTTTATTTATTAATGGTAGCAAAGCTAGGAGGATAAACTGAAGAATGTATGTGTATGAATATGTATTTTTTCCATGATGTTAATTGCGTAATTTACAGCTTTATACAATAAAGTAAATACTGAATTTGCAAAAACTTCAATTTCACAATCTAAACTAGATGCAAAATCATTAACTAAAGTTGTCAAGTTTATTTGTATTGGAAGTAAAAGTAACTATTAAAGTTAGACCCATCATAAATCTATCAGTCAACCTCTACGGTACTAATCAAAAGAAAGAAAACTCTGGAACCTCTGGCCATATGAGAGGTGTCTAAATAGACCAAGTTGTTTTGTTAGATACCCAGGAACTCTGGCAAAATACAAAAATATCTATAATACTAATTTCCAATGTGCGAAGAAATTGAAAAGAAAGTATTCAACCTCTGGCCATAGGAGGCCACAGGAGGCCACAGGAGGTGTCTGTGATTTTGTTTCTTACCCAGGAGCTTGGGATAATCAAAATACAATGAAAGTTTTTATTTTGACTGAAAAATGCAAATTTTTTTTTGTGCCTACTTTTATGCTGTGCTTATCCACTGAATTTTCACTGAAATTACATGACAGCAAGGCTACAGGGAAGGGGCTGTCTCCCTTTCAATATTTGGTATTTATATGTTGTGTTAAGAATACACACCTTTTGATATTTATGGTATGTAAAGAAATGTTGGAGTGTAAATTTTCTACTATGTTATTGAAGAATTCAAGAATTCTCTACTTAATTTATTGCAATGTTATACAAGAGTATTTTATGTGTTCTAGAGCAGTATGCATGCTCCGTTTTGGAAAATTGTTTTGTGTTTTTTTAGCAGTATTTTTGCTGCTACTAATTACATTACACAATATAGTACTTTATAATGTATAACGTAAAAGGGAAGCAAAAGAAATGTGTCAATGGTCTTACTCGACTTTTCTGTATTCTGCATGCTTGCAGTAAAAATACCGGTAAACCATTCCAGAGAATACTGATACATTGGATCAACAGTTGCTAAATCAACAAGACAGAAGAAAATTATCTGAGCTCTCTTAGCCACAGGTATATACAAAGCTCTTGTATCATCTATTTCTATTTGTGTTTCTTCTGCTGCTGCCACTTTCTCCTGCTCAGAGAAATTAGACAGAGAGATATGATTAGCACATGTGTAAACATAGGTTCCATTGTTGCATAAATAAAAAACCCTTTATGGAATATTTATCGCATAAATATTGAAAAGGGTAAAGTTCTACTCTTAAAAATCTCTTATTTTTTTAATATCATGTGTACATCCATGTAAACATCTTACTTTGATTTCTTCACTTTTTACTTTGGAAGTTTCCAAAGTTGTAATCAACTCAATGTCATCAACAGGATTGCCTTTGGCAGCACTAGCAGCCAATAATACTAAAATTTTGTCTTCGATTTCCTTCAGATCATTTTTCATTTCTGCATTTTGAACAATCAAAGCACCACGTGCTTCTTCTAAATCAGGCCGTTCTGACATTACTACCAAAGCTAGCAGTTGATCCTCCAAGCCACTGAAGACAGACGTTAGAACCAGTTTTATGTCAGTGTCCTTTTTATACATTTATGATGGAAATGCAATACCTATTTTGAATAAGATATTGAAAGAACTAGTTTTTAAAAAAATACAACACTTAATAAAAAAGAAAATCGATTCAGAAAGAAAATATGGGAAATAATTAGAAATAATTATTTTATAAATTCAAAGAATTATTTTTCTTTAGTTTTTTTTAATCTCAAAAAAAATGCCAATATTCTTAATTTGAAAATAAACAGAAATTGTAAAAAAAAAGAGAAATCTTAAAAAAAACTACTGTGCTGAAACAAAGCTTTTGTTAGCAAAATAACCGGGCCATTTGTTCATCTAATTGAGGAGAAGACAGTGGTGAATTGGTTTTCACCTGAAATGACTCACTATTATTTTTGTGTGAACAAAGTGTACGAATGTGTATTTCAATAAAATTAGTTTCTTACCTAGGAATCAATGCAAAGTTGACAAGGAGAACTTTAATACCAATCTCTGGAGGATAAGATGGATTCGGCAGTTTCGTTGTCATGAACAATCTAAATTGGTGGCTGTAAGGAACTGTATTGTCCCCTATTTTAATCATATCTGTCCCCCCTTGGCGATATATTTGACGAAGCAAAATAGGATCTAGGAGAGGATCCAATTCCTTTCCAACATTTTCTATGAGACACATCTTGCCAAAGCGCACTGCACCTTCTAGAGAGCGCTGGAGATCCTTGTCTGTTAGTTTTGCTATGATCATGCCACTCTCCTTCCCCTAAAAAGAAATTAAACAAGGTAGTG